AAAATACCTCACAACTCTCTAGGCATTTTGTTAATCAGCAACCTGGTCAAAGAGCAACACAATCTTGGTGACACTCTAGCACAAGCTGAGATAAAACTTTGATAAATTAAACAGGTAAGCCCCCCAAACTCTGGACTTTAATACCAATCAGAAGTAACTGTTTTATTATGTTGTTTGTCTTCCTGCCTGGGTTGCAGATAGCAAAAATACACAACACATAAATGTTTGCTTTTCAGTGTATAAACGTTTAATGTTACAGTTTGTAGTGTTTAAGAAAAGCATATTTACAAGCTCTCGTTACTTTATTTACAGCTGTTTAAGGTAAATTAGTTCCAATCTTCCAAAAACCTGTCGGGCACTGACACAGGTCAGAGATGCTCTGCAGCAATCACCTCCTCAACACACTCAGGTTCCTTGGCTTCCGTGTGCCGGGGACAGATACGACACATAATCCTAAGCATTATTAGAATTATTTTACCTATGCTATGGTAGTGAATCACCTGCATCAAATAGACCTGGATGCAACAGCTAATTATAACCACCAGGTGTCACTTTGTCCTCACATTTCAGTGCTTCAGTTAAGCAGCAGAACGCTGAAGGGGCCATCGGGTTCTTGACTTGAAGACTTGAAGAAAAATGTACTTTTAAAGTACCTTTTTTGCACAATACTTTTTTCTTTTACTTGAGTACATTTGTGAAGAAGAAACGGTACTTTTACTCCGCTACATTTGCAAAATTTGACTCGTTACTTTTTAAAAAAAATAATTAGTTTAACACATTAGATAACATGCCGCCAGTGGAGTTTCCGGTAACTTTTTTACCAATGAGATGTGGCCGTTCAGTCACATGACCAGTTTGAAACTGGCGGGCAGAGCGGCCCAAGCGTTTAAAAGTAGCAGACACATGGAAAGAAGAAACGTGAAAACATGGCAGAGCCAATTGTCTACGCTAGAGCTGAAGAGGATGAACAGCATTTTCCTCACATACAAAGAATGTTTCGCTTAAAAGCAGTACAAAAGAACAGCTATATCTTCATTGTCGGTGTCTTCAGTGAGAGCCAAAATAAACCAACTTTTCAGCGTGAAACAACTCAACTCG